GGTGTTGTTAGCGGTAGGCACAGCAGATCACATTCAACTGGTGGACACATCTGTCGGTGTGGTTAGCGGTAGGCACAGTGGATCACCTTCATCTGGTGGTTATAGCTGTCGGTGTGGTTAGCACATGGTCATTGGAACTGTAGGGTGATTGTGAGATAACCAGGTCTGAGTTCGACACTGTTGTAGCGCCACCTAGTCAATATGTAGTGGACCAAATGCAGAGGACTTGTTTCCAAATAATCTAGTTGCAAGGTGCATCTCCCAGTGATAGGGTCTGTTGCAACTCCCAGTGATAGGGACTGTTGCAACTCCCAGTGATAGGGTCTGTTGCATTTCCCAGTGATAGGGCCTGTTGCAATTCCCAGTGATAGGGTCTGTTGCAACTCCCTGTGATAGGGTCTGTTGCATCTCCCAGTGATAGGGTCTGTTGCAACTCCCATTGATAGGGTATGTTGCAACTCCAAGTGATAGGGTCTGTTGCAACTCCCAGTGATAGGGTCTGTTGCAACTCCCAGTGATAGGGCCTGTTGCAACTCCCTGTGATAGGGTCTGTTGCAACTCCCAGTGATAGGGTCTGTTGCAACTCCCAGTCGTAGGGTCTGTTGCAACTCGGGGTTTGGTTGTAACTGTCAGTGGTCTGGTCTGGTTGTAACTAAGCAGGTTAGATTTAATTGTTGTCGATTGTTAGCTGCCCAGCTCCCAAGTTTAGACCTGCTTTCAGCCATCGGGTGCCAACATGGCGGCCTTGGGGCTGTCAGCCATAGTTGGAATGTAGAGGTAAATTTGCCATGATGTCTGAACTGTCCGACACCGACTTTATCCGGTACTGTTATCTAAAGACTCACGTTGTTAACTCGAGATTGGGTAGTCCTGGATATTTGAATCGTGATGGTAGATTGACTGTTTGCGATCTACATCAGAGGGAGTGATAGAATCGCGTGCTTCATCTTGGCATTGCGGGCAATGATGTTCATTCGTGGGCTAGTTGTGGTAAATTAGGTAATAATACATGGAACCTGTTGTTTCAGTAACACTGTCGAGAACACTCTTAAATCTGTCTGAGATATTTGGCATTACCGCCTGCCGTACACGAGCCAGAGCCAATGTTGAGATAGTAAACGTCAGTAATGCCACAAGTTTTACAAAGCGGTATCTTTTTTATGAGACGTGTTTGTTGTGACACTGATTTTCAAACGTAAAACATATTATGACATGATCCTGAGTGTGCCTACAAGGACGCCATAGGTCAACGAAGGCAGGTACGCCGTCGGGTATTAACGGTTCGTGTGTCGGTGATCGTCAGACGGGTGTTGCACTGAAGATATATTGAAACAGTTCGTACAGGAAGTTCTGTCTGTATGGACGGTTTTCCTTATTCTCCACACTATGACTGACAGGGAAATCACATCTATGTATTTCGCGTTACATTCGACCTTGTCCATAAGCAGGAGTCTCACCATGCAAACAATAGGAACAAATCTAAACTGAGCAAGATGCCCATCACCACAACCAATAGGAACACATCTAAACTCAGCATTATGCCCATCACCACAACCAATAGGAACACATCTAAACTCAGCATTATGCCCATCACCACAACCAATAGGAACAAATCTAAACTCAGCAAGATGCCCATCACCACAACCAATAGGAACACATCTAAACTCAGCATTATGCCCATCACCACAACCAATAGGAACAAATCTAAACTCAGCATTATGCCCATCACCACAACCAATAGGAACAAATCTAAACTCAGCAAGATGCCCATCACCACAACCAATAGGAACACATCTAAACTCAGCAAGATGCCCATCACCACAACCAATAGGAACAAATCTAAACTCAGCAAGATGCCCATCACCACAACCAATAGGAACAAATCTAAACTCAGCAAGATGCCCATCACCACAACCAATAGGAACAAATCTAAACTCAAGCAAGATGCCCATCACCACAACCAATAGGAACAAATCTAAACTCAGCAAGATGCCCATCACCACAACCAATAGGAACAAATCTAAACTCAGCAAGATGCCCATCACCACAACCAATAGGAACAAATCTAAACTCAGCAAGATGCCCATCACCACAACCAATAGGAACAAATCTAAACTCAGCAAGATGCCCATCACCACAACCAATAGGAACAAATCTAAACTCAGCAAGATGCCCATCACCACAACCAATAGGAACAAATCTAAACTCAGCAAGATGCCCATCACCACAACCAATAGGAACAAATCTAAACTCAGCAAGATGCCCATCACCACAACCAATAGGAACAAATCTAAACTCAGCAAGATGCCCATCACCACAACCAATAGGAACAAATCTAAACTCAGCATTATGCCCATCACCACAACCAATAGGAACAAATCTAAACTCAGCAAGATGCCCATCACAACAACCAATAGGAACAAATCTAAACTCAGCAAGATGCCCATCACCACAACCAATAGGAACAAATCTAAACTCAGCAAGATGCCCATCACACAACAAACCAATAGGAACAAATCTAAACTCAGCAAGATGCCCATCACAACAACCAATAGGAACAAATCTAAACTCAGCAAGATGCCCATCACCACAACCAATAGGAACAAATCTAAACTCAGCAAGATGCCCATCACCACAACCAATAGGAACAAATCTAAACTCAGCAAGATGCCCATCACCACAACCAATAGGGAACAAATCTAAACTCAGCAAGATGCCCATCACCACAACCAATAGGAACAAATCTAAACTCAGCAAGATGCCCATCACCACAACCAATAGGAACAAATCTAAACTCAGCAAGATGCCCATCACCACAACCAATAGGAACAAATCTAAACTCAGCAAGATGCCCATCACCACAACCAATAGGAACAAATCTAAACTCAGCAAGATGCCCATCACCACAACCAATAGGAACAAATCTAAACTCAGCAAGATGCCCATCACCACAACCAATAGGAACAAATCTAAACTCAGCAAGATGCCCATCACCACAACCAATAGGAACAAATCTAAACTCAGCAAGATGCCCATCACCACACCACAACCAATAGGAACAAATCTAAACTCAGCAAGATGCCCATCACCACAACCAATAGGAACAAATCTAAACTCAGCAAGATGCCCATCACCACAACCAATAGGAACAAATCTAAACTCAGCAAGATGCCCATCACCACAACCAATAGGAACAAATCTAAACTCAGCAAGATGCCCATCACCACAACCAATAGGAACAAATCTAAACTCAGCAAGATGCCCATCACCACAACCAATAGGAACAAATCTAAACTCAGCAAGATGCCCATCACCAATAGGAACAAACTAAATAGGAACAAATCTAAACTCAGCAAGATGCCCATCACCACAACCAATAGGAACAAATCTAAACTCAGCAAGATGCCCATCACCACAACCAATAGGAACAAATCTAAACTCAGCAAGATGCCCATCACCACAACCAATAGGAACAAATCTAAACTCAGCAAGATGCCCATCACCACCACAACCAATAGGAACAAATCTAAACTCTCAGCAAGATGCCCATCACCACAACCAATAGGAACAAATCTAAACTCAGCAAGATGCCCATCACCACAACCAATAGGAACAAATCTAAACTCAGCAAGATGCCCATCACCACAACCAATAGGAACAAATCTAAACTCAGCAAGATGCCCATCACCACAACCAATAGGAACAAATCTAAACTCAAGCAAGATGCCCATCACCACAACCAATAGGAACAAATCTAAACTCAGCAAGATGCCTATCACCACAACCAATAGGGAACAAATCTAAACTCAGCAAGATGCCCATCACCACAACCAATAGGAACAAATCTAAACTCAGCAAGATGCCCATCACCACAACCAATAGGAACAAATCTAAACTCAGCAAGATGCCCATCACCACAACCAATAGGAACAAATCTAAACTCAGCAAGATGCCCATCACCACAACCAATAGGAACAAATCTAAACTCAGCAAGATGCCCATCACCACAACCAATAGGAACAAATCTAAACTCAGCAAGATGCCCATCACCACAACCAATAGGAACAAATCTAAACTCAGCAAGATGCCCATCACCACAACCAATAGGAACAAATCTAAACTCAGCAAGATGCCCATCACCACAACCAATAGGAACAAATCTAAACTCAGCAAGATGCCCATCACCACAACCACAATAGGAACAAATCTAAACTCAGCAAGATGCCCATCACCACAACCAATAGGAACAAATCTAAACTCAGCAAGATGCCCATCACCACAACCAATAGGAACAAATCTAAACTCAGCAAGATGCCCATCACCACAACCAATAGGAACAAATCTAAACTCAGCAAGATGCCCATCACCACAACCAATAGGAACAAATCTAAACTCAGCAAGATGCCCATCACCACAACCAATAGGAACAAATCTAAACTCAGCAAGATGCCCATCACCACAACCAATAGGAACAAATCTAAACTCAGCAAGATGCCCATCACCACAACCAATAGGAACAAATCTAAACTCAGCAAGATGCCCATCACCACAACCAATAGGAACAAATCTAAACTCAGCAAGATGCCCATCACCACAACCAATAGGAACAAATCTAAACTCAGCAAGATGCCCATCACCACAACCAATAGGAACAAATCTAAACTCAGCAAGATGCCCATCACCACAACCAATAGGAACAAATCTAAACTCAGCAAGATGCCCATCACCACAACCAATAGGAACAAATCTAAACTCAGCAAGATGCCTATCACCACAACCAATAGGAACAAATCTAAACTCAGCAAGATGCCCATCACCCGTACCCGAATGAGCTCACCGTGTCCCTATTACCACTCTTGTTCATATTTAACTTGTGGTCTTGTGGTTTCGTTGTCTCGTGTCTTTCTATGTAAACATAAACAACCCACTCGGGACATTGTATGTGACCATGGTTCATGTTGTTAACAGTGAGTTTACAACTGTGTTTTGTCTTGTTTCAGGAGACATGTGGCCACTGATGACTACATTCCCTACAGGAGTGTTCTTTATCTTAAGCAGTGTGTCTAGCCGTAAGTAATACCTTTCTTACACACCCATGCAAACCCTCATGCTGTCTATACTACTGTGTATGGCGAACCTGAACCAGCTTCACGAAGGTTGAAGTGAAATCCAAATTTGATGTGAAGTCCAAGGTTGATTGAAGTCCTTTGTTGGCGTGAAGTCGTTGGATAATGGTCTCACGGTCCACATGAAGATATGTGAGGTTACAGTGGCTGCTGGATTTATTTCTGTCAAACTATCACGCACCCTCTCTTGATTACCAAGGGCAGAGGGGGGACTGTATGTACAAGTGAGGACCACACGCATGCACCAACTGCTTATTATATAGACGTTCTTTTTAACGTAAGAAATGACACATCCATAGAGCAATGTCGCTCTATGGTCCCATAGGAATGGGATCCATATTGATGTCAGAGCCCGTCCACTGTTAGATATAAGGTTTAGTTGAATCAGCAAAACTCTTTGAAGAACAACTGCACTGTGTGTGCACATGCACATCAACGTTGACACGTTTGTGTATATTTTCTAATCCGTGATATAAAACACGATCAAAGGCGTCTATTTATTCCTCATAAACACCACGGGTGTTAAAAGTAAATCACTTGGTCTCACATCAGCCTTTACAGAAAACACGGGTTTGTGGGCAAAAAGTAGGTCAGAAGCCTCCAATACCTGACTTGAAAACCCATAAACTTTATTGGATCGTACTCCAAATTATTATTGCATATTGCATAAACATTAAATCAATTCATGTTTAGTTGAAACTGAATTGCTAAAATACTGGAAATAGACAGACACAAAGTTTACATATTGTCTGTACACGGCGGTGTCCATGGTAACGTGTGTGTTTGTTTAACGGACGTTGACCTATGAATTCCTGGAAGAGACATTGTCACGTTGTCCAAATTAAGCAAAGAGCGACACTACGACAATGTGACATATTGTGATATTTTGGCCATTTGCTGGTTTTCATAATGTCGACAACGAGGTCATGCGACAACACGACAATGCCTCTTCTAAGATTCCATAAGGTCCTTCCATCAAGGATTCGTCCTGGACGACTGCCCTGAATGGCATAACACAGTAATAATATACCCTTACTGAAATGTCGTTCAAGCCGTGCTCAAATCCATGCACATTTGAGAAAACTGTGTTTGCGGTGGAAGTGAATGTACTACGGCACAGCTGAATGAAAGTGACTCTCACCCTCACTCCCAATGGCGTCCTCTATATGATCTCCATATCAGCGCGGCGTACCGACACTGTGTTCTCGTACTGCTGAGCTGAGGACATCTGAAGTCTGACCAATAAAGTTTACACTGATGAGGTGAACCACAGCTTTACATGACGCTTACAAGCATCTGTTTCATTAGCGCAGTTTAAAATGACTCCGAGGTCAACTATCATCTGTTGTGGAAAGTGATCGGGGCTCATATATATAAGCCATTTATAAACAATAATACTGTCAGTTTCTTAAAATAGATGTTAACACTGCTGTTCGGCTTTCAGCACTCACAACAAGATATCTCCGAAGGTATACATTCAACATCTGAATGCCCGAACCTCGGCCACGACGCTGGCGTGACAGTGCGACAGCAGCGTGTACATATATGCGTAAACCGCAGTACTGGTACACTCTGTAATGCCCTGACCAGGAATACCTGGGACACTGTGTCATACCTAGATCAGGAATACCTGGGACACTGTGTCATACCTACATCAGGAATACCTAGGACACTGTGTCATACCTAGACCAGGAATACCTGGGACACTGTGCCATACCTAGACCAGGAATACCTGGGACACTGTGTCATACCTATACCAGGAATACCTAGGACACTGTGTCATACCTAGACCAGGAATACCTGGGACACTGTGCCATACCTAGACCAGGAATACCTGGGACAGGAATACCTAGGACACTGTGTCATACCTAGACCAGGAATACCTGGGACACTGTGTAATACGCAAACCAGGAATAAATGGGACACTGTGCCATATCCAGACCAGGAATACTTGGGACATTGTCTCATACCTAGACAAGGAATACCTTGGACACTTCATGAAAACCAGGCAGAGAATACCTGATTCACTGTATGATGCCCAGGTAGCCAACCTGATACACTGTGTCATACCCAGGTAGCCAACCTGATACACTGTGTCATACCCAGGTAGCCAACCTGATACACTGTGTCATACCCAGGTTGCCAACCTGATACACTGTGTCATACCCAGGTTGCCAACCTGATACACTGTGTCATACCCAGGTAACCAACCTGATACACTGTGTCATACCGAGGTAGCCAACCTGACACACTCTGTGAAGCCCAGGTAACCAACCTGATACACTGTGTCATACCCAGTTAGCCAACCTGACACACTCTGTGATGCCCAGGTAACCAACCTGATACACTGTGTCATACCCAGGTAGCCAACCTGACACACTCTGTGATGCCCAGGTAACCAACCTGATACACTGTGTCATACCCAGGTTGCCAACCTGACACACTATGTCATACCCAGGTAGCCAACCTGATACACTGTGTCATACCCAGTTAGCCAACCTGACACACTCTGTCATACCCAGGTAGCCAACCTGATACACTGTGTCATACCCAGGTAGCCAACCTGATACACTGTGTCATACCCAGTTAGCCAACCTGATACACTGTGTCATACCCAGTTAGCCAACCTGATACACTCTGTCATATCCAGGTAGCCAACCTGACACACTCTGTCATACCCAGGTAGCCAACCTGATACACTGTGTCATACCCAGGTATCCCATACCTTATACACTGTGTCATACCCAGGTAGCCGACCTGATACTCTGTGTCATACCCAGGTAGCCAACCTGATACACTGTGTCATACCCAGGTAGCCCATACCTGATACACTGTGTCATACCCAGGTAGCCAACCTGATACACTGTGTCATACCCAGGTATCCAACCTGATACACTGTGTCATACCCAGGTAGCCAACCTGATACACTGTGTCATACCCAGGTAGCCAACCTGATACACTGTGTCATACCCAGTTAACCAACCTGATACACTGTGTCATACCCAGGTAGCCAACCTGAAACACTGTGTCATACCCAGGTATCCAACCTGATACACTGTGTCATACCCAGGTAGCCAACCTGATACACTGTGTCATACCCAGGTAGCCAACCTGATACACTGTGTCATACCCAGGTAGCCAACCTGATACACTGTGTCATACCCAGGTAGCCAACCTGATACACTGTGTCCAGGCAACCCAACCCAGGTATACCCAACCTGATACACTGTGTCATACCCAGGTAGCCAACCTGATACACTGTGTCATACCCAGGTAGCCAACCTGATACACTGTGTCATACCCAGGTAGCCAACCTGATACACTGTGTCATACCCAGGTAGCCAACCTGATACACTGTGTCATACCCAGGTAGCCAACCTGATACACTGTGTCATACCCAGGTAGCCAACCTGATACACTGTGTCATACCCAGGTAAGCCAACCTGATACACTGTGTCATACCCAGGTAGCCAACCTGATACACTGTGTCATACCCAGGTAGCCAACCTGATACACTGTGTCATACCCAGGTAGCCCATACCTGATACACCGTGTCATACCCAGGTAGCCAACCTGATACACCGTGTCATACCCAGGTAACCCATACCTGATACACTGTGTCATACCCAGGTAGCCAACCTGATACACTGTGTCATACCCAGGTAGCCCATACCTGATACACTGTGTCATACCCAGGTAGCCCATACCTGATACACTGTGTCATACCCAGGTAGCCAACCTGATACACCTGTGTCATACCCAGGTAACCCATACCTGATACACTGTGTCATACCCAGGTACCCATACCTGATACGCTGTGTCATACCCAGGTAGCCAACCTGATACACTGTGTCATACCCAGGTAGCCAACCTGATACACTGTGTCATACCCAGGTAGCCAACCTGATACACCGTGTCATACCCAGGTAACCCATACCTGATACACTGTGTCATACCCAGGTAGCCATACCTGATACACTGTGTCATACCCAGGTAGCCAACCTGATACACCGTGTCATACCCAGGTAGCCCATACCTGATACACCGTGTTATACCCAGGTAACCCATACCTGATACACTGTGTCATACCCAGGTAGCCTATACCTGATACGCTGTGTCATACCTAGGTAGCCAACCTGATACACCGTGTTACACCCAGGTAACCCATACCTGATACACTGTGTTATACCCAGGTAACCCATACCTGATACACTGTGTCATACCCTGGTAACCCATACCTGATACACCGTGTCATACCCAGGTAGCCAATTTGATACACTGTGTCATACCCAGGTAGCCCATACCTGATACACTGCCTGGTATCCCAGCGTAAATCTTATACATCCAGGTTATACCCGCAGGTAACCCATACCTGATGCTGGCGTGTCATTACCCAGGTAGCCCATTCCTGGATACACTGTGTCATACCCAGGTAACCCATGCCTGATACTTGCTGTAGTCATGCCCAGGTAGTCTATGCCCATACAGCTGTGTCATACCCTGGGTAGCTCAGCAACCATACACTGTGTCATACCCAGGTAGCCCATGCCTGATACACTGTAAGTTATACCCAGGTGAAACTCCATACCTGATACACTGTGTCATACTCCAGGTAACCCATACCTGTTTTTACCGTGTCATACCTAGGTAGCCAATTTGATACATCGTGTTATACCCAGGTAACCCATACCTGATACAACGTGTTATCTCTGTGCAGCCCAATTCCTGGATACACCGTGTTGCACTCCAGGTAACCCGCTACCTGATACACTGAAGTCATACCCAGGTAGCCTATACCTGATACGCTGTGTCATACCTAGGTAGGCCATACCTGATACACTGTGTCATACCCAGGTAACCCATACCTGATACACTGTGTCATACCCAGGTAACCCATACCTGATACACCGTGTCATACCCAGGTAACCCATACCTGATACACT